TTGGTTTGAGTGGCGACCTAATATCTCAGGCGTTTGTACAGTCGTTACCGAATACGAGATTTGTGTATCATCACGAGCAAAATCATTCGGTGCAAATGAAAGTATTTTTAAAATTTTCAAATGTGTAAGATAAAAATGATATAGTCCTTTTCTACCCCTCTTGATTTAATTAGAGACCAAACTCTGCTTATACAGTTACTTCTGAATACAAAATTTGTACAAGATCGTGAACAAAATTACATATTTAGTATTAAAGAGAATATTTTCAGAATCCTACAAATTTTGTGCGACATTCTTGATCATTCCTAACAGTTTGATTTGGCAATTTTCGACGTTCTATGGAAATTGTAAGTAACAAGTTCTATGCATTATAGTTGAAAGAGAAGTCGCAAGATAATTCGCCAAATAATAAGTCGCCAATAATTCTGTTACGGTGTAGAAAATATTGAAAATTAGGCAATTAAATAAAACACATTTAAATACTGCGACTTTATTTTAGAGAATAAACAAAGTACGTCTTTACTGTCCGATCAGAGTATCAAAGGATCCGGAGTGAAGAGTCAACAAAACCTTATCGCCTTAAGAACACAATTAAAAAAACAGAAGATCATTTTTGTATATTCGTCAGATAAATCCAACAAAAATAAACTTACTGGTCTAAGCAGAATCATCGACAATGATTAATAAACACTGAAAATCCTCGATTATCAACTTTCGACTCTCGAATGAATGCGCGATAGCTTGGTAAATAATGCTCTCGGGAAACTAAAGCTCGGCCGAGTAAGATGTTCCCGCGAGGAAGCACAAAAAAAAAGAACGGGGAAGTCAAGATCACGACCGAAAAGACCGCGAACGGGCAACAAAACGCCCACTTTAACGACCAAAGAAAATCCATTGCCTCGGTCGAACACGGCGTTGACCCGTAGAGCGTCGAAAGCTCGTTAATCTCCGCGAAGACTCGGTTGCGGTTGATTTCGCGAGCACGTGAAGTAGACAAAAAAAAAGAAACACGAGAAGTCCGCCGGCGCAGGAAGGAAACCGGGAAAAAGCTGCGTCGAAACAGCGGCGAGAGACGAATTCTCGAACTGTAATCTACTTTTTCCAGAGCGCGGAGAGGGGCGAGGGGGGGATGGGTAACGCGTTGGCCGAGCAAATAAAGTACGTTTCGCGTAAGCGAAACCGAAGAGAGCCGGAGAGCAGCGATTTCTCGTGTCGCGAAACGACGCGACCGCAGAGGGAAACCGAAATCGCGATAGCACGGCACCGGGGAACGGTGTACACGGCCATCGATCCGATCTAGGACGAGCCTCTGCCCGTGAGATCTCTGCTCGAGGAACGGGACAGTATCGGGCCATCGAGGAGGAAACAAGAGCCGCGATGCTAGAATAGTCTATCAGAGATGGAGCGACGCGATAAAGATTTACGCGCCGCCGGGCGAACTTTTTCGGACAGAAATCATGGCACCGGGGCAGTAAAGTTTTATTTCGCCGTAACTGCGGCCGGAGAACCGAGGGGACCGTTCGATATCGGGGATGGTTCTATCGAACGTGCGACGGGGAGGCGTTGAAATCTCCTTTCTATAATTTTTCGATGGCCAAAGGCGCTGCCGCGATTTTATCGGGGATTCCAGTTGCTTGTCTCGTCGCGTTCGAAATCGTTCGCTAACTCTGCCGAAATAGAATTTCAATTGTCAGAATTCTGTTCGATAGACGGCTGTACGTCGAGTACGTACAATAAGCAAATACTAATTATATTTTAAATTATGATATATTAAATTATTATTATAGTCGACTATAACTTTACTATAACTTTTAATCTTTATCTTGCAAAATAGAAACGATCTTCGTCGACTGCAACAGACATTAATCGCATAGAAATTCTTTTCTATTTTCTTCAATAACTGTCACGAATTGGAAATAATACGTAAATATTCCGAAATTCTTTTATCTTAGTTGTAAGACATTTTTGTCTACTCGTTTTTCGTATAAATTGTATAAAAGCACGCAGCATCGGTAATTCGACGTCACCGAGTTCTTTTATTATACAAATGTCGAGTGTACTGCGTTCATTCGTAAGCAAGAAAATTACGGTTAATCTCGCGTCTCGCGCGAAAGATTCATGAAAACTTTATAAAGACCATCGTTTCGCCGTGTTTTGTCGGTTAACAGTATGCGGCCGAACTTCCGTCGTAATTGCATTATTCAGTAACTAGAGGCGCGATTATGAAGAGTACGGAACAGGGTTTACGATCATTTCATTAGCTGGCGATTATAAGAGCAGCGGCCAAAGGGTGCGAGAGGGTTCTTGAGCAAATATATGGTTCCGGTAATTTATACAAATGAAATTAGGCGCGGTGCGCGGTAATCGCGCGACCGGCCACGTCGTAATTACGAAAATTAACCCTATAATTTTCGCGCATAAAACGCGGAAGGCGTGGATACGCAAATTGCCGCGAGATAATGGCGACGCCGCGCGGCGCCGCGCCGGCCGCCGACCAAAGAAACCGGAACAATTTCGACGGCTTAAATGGAACTTCGTTAGACCCGAGTCTGCCGCTTGCCATCCTAATTAACGATTGTCTTTCGGCCGGCGTTTTGTTCGCGTGCAAGCTTGATCATCCCCGGGAGAGTTTCCCTGGACAATCCACTTTGCCTCTCGTGCGCGACGCGAATCGATAAACCGGAATTAATCCGGAACTTCGACCGAATCAGAACGTCCTCGAAGGCGAGCCGCATTCACAACCTGATTATCATTTTAGCGTTCCGAAGTATCGTGACAGTTAACCCCTCTCGTTTCGGCTGGAGTTCGCTAAATTCAGAACTAGACGCTTTCGCGTTACTTTGTAGAGATCTTGTGTGTGCGCGTGGAAAGAAAGATTATATTTATTGAATAATTATAAATGCAAATCAACGAAAGAACGTTTCATTCCGACGAGTCTTGTGAGTCAATTGCAGTTATAGTTGCACAGCATATTCTCGATTTTCTTTTGGTCGGAACGCGTCTCGCACGGATGCAGTACAATCTAAAATCATCCGTATACGGAACGATGTATTTTTAATTATTAGTTCATTAAGGTAACCAAGTTTTTATTTACTTGTTCGTAGTTACAATGATCAGAACTTTTTCGATTGAAATCATTTCTTGGAAGAAGAAGAAGAAGACGAGATTTACGTTTATTGTGTGCCTGGATTTTCTTAAATGCTTAAATAATGGCGACAAGAAAACTTAAAAAAGTAGGACAACATATTTAACAGGTTATTACTAGGAATCTCCATCGCGAGTCGAAGCACGGCGAGGGATTAAAGAACGAAATTCTTGCTGGGCGCGATTTCGACGCGATCCGTGCGCGTTTCTCCGTCCGAAAAATTCTGAAACAGATAAGAACGTTCGGTTGACAGAGAAGTATCGATGACGCGTCGCCGCGATCGCGGACCCGCAGCGACAAAAATTGCGCCTTCCGGTTTTTTGTCCGCCGCCGACCGGCCGTATTTCCATGAATCGGAGCGTAATTTTTAACGATGTTTGCGCGACTCGTTCGCCGGCGAAAGCTTTTTCCCCGCGCTAACGAACTTTTTTCCTCGGCCGTATCCCGTTGGAAGCGCGGCACGCGGCCTTTTTTCCTTTTTATTGCAGGCCGAAGCGTTTAATTTATGCGAGCGTGCCCGCGCCGAAAAGATTGTTCGACGCCCGTCGGCCATGGAAACGCGCGCGCGCGCGAGCGCGCGTGCGAGCGCTCGAGGAAAAATCCGATCTGTTTATGCAACCGTGACTTCCGGTGGGATGAGAGGCTTCCGGCTCGGCACACTCGGGGATTTTAATCGGCGATTGTAACTTTTTCAATTTTCAAAGCAATCCGATTCCGCTCCTCGAACCTTCGCGCCGCCCACCATCCCCGTATCCATTTTAATGAGAGACCGCTCCGCAAAAAACTAGGATCGAAGGCGAATTCATCTCGCGAACCGACAAATGTACGATCAAAAAAATCCGGGCTGACACGGTCGTTCTGCGGCTGCGCCGATCTCGACGCGAAATCGACGATGACTGGCTCGCGCAAGGCTATATTTTTCTGCGCGTTTTTCATCGTCTTTTTATGCAACGAAAATGGAGAAACAAATAATATTGTATTGCAGAAAATGGTGTAACTATTTCATTGAATTCGTATTTCTTGGCGCGTTACAAATATTATAGAGAGAATACGTACACAGCGTTGTTAAAGAAAGCAAAATAATTTTTGTATCTTTGTGAACAGATGATATTGTTCTGAATTCCTTTCATATCCTCGCGTGAAGCTCAAAATTAATTCCAGAAAGCTTCCGTGAGTATTTCACTTACAGTCTCCCACTTTAAAGGAGGCCACCAATCTACGACGCAATCGTGGAAAAACAAATAATTAATATAAAACAAGTAATAATTCCGAAGCAAGAAATGGCCCAAAAAGTGTATAATTATTAACAAAACTTATCGACTTCCACATTTTCGATTTTAGAGTCGTTGGAATTATAAAGACTCGCTCGTAGAAAATTATTGAATCGATTTCTCAGTCCAAGCATACATTATAATAGCAATGGCGGAAAGTTCATTAAATTTAGTCTCATCATTCTTATAAAGAAATACGCGTTAATTACGTTCGATGTTCGGCAGGTTTCCTGTTAATTTCGCTTGAATTTTCGTCCGAAACTTTGCTCGGGACAATCGATGATTCGGCAAATGTTCGACCACCACGTGGACGGGAGTGCAAACGAGAGGACAAGGATACAAAATAAATATCCGATGTCTGATTAAAAAAGAAGCCGCGTCCCGCAGTAATTATTCCCGGTGCCGAGTTCCGTCGGTTCGCCGCGCGTGCTCGCATAAATGGACAAAGAGAATCAATTAGCGCGTAATAAACACTCGACGCAAGGTTCCGCACAGTTCGCGGAACCGCGCGGAAATTCCCTCCCCGAATGAAATTACAAGCTTGCTCCCCGTTGACGGGCCGACGATGCTTTCTCTGTTAACAGGGATCTGATGTGACGCCGTCGTTCCACCGACTCTCTGACGGGGCCGTTTCCTGCGTGTGCGTGTGCTGCATAAAGGGGACGAGATGAGGGGTGGCAGCAACGATATCCCTGTCATGGTCACCGTGCCCGCCTCCGCGTCTCTCAACGTAAGTACGCCCTTAAAGGGCATTTTCACCGGTTAAACACACCGCACGCCGGAGGGACTTTCCAGGCGGCTTTTTCGGCTCGCGTTGAAACTCGCGGCTGAAACTGAACGATCGTGACATTCTCTGCGGGCACCGTAGCGAATTATCTGGACACCGCGTGTAGAAACACCGAATTCCGAAGGTTACATCGCGTATTACGATCTCTAATCTATTTGAACCGTAATCTGGTATTAATGATTTTCACGAAAACGATTGGTATGCCGGCGATGGTCGCGATAGACCCGGCATTAAATATGCAAACGAACGCGTTGATCGAATTCTGGACGAACGATTCAGTGGTATTTTATTCTTAGTTAGTGTATAATGTAATAACAAACGTGGAAAATTAACCTTTTTGCCGCAGAATCAAGTAGAGAGATACAATAACGTGGACACCGATGACCCAATTATGCCAGTTATGGGTTCATTTGATCGCGCGAACTTTTCTGAAATAGCACGTCGGACTGGAACGTTTCTATTGGGAAAATTACTTTGCGATCGGTATTCGATTCCAGACTATTTTAATCGGAAATTGGTGTAATGATTTTAACAGAAATTATTGATATAATGGAGTCATAGCGGATTCCACATAGCAAACGAATGTGTCGATGTAAACCTAGATGAAATAGTTCATGATTCAGTGATATTTCATTCTCAACCAGTGTATAAAACGATAAAAACGTGGAGAATTAAACTTTTGTTACAGAACTAAGTGGAAACACATTGTTGAGAGTTAATTCGATCATTAATTTGCTTCAGGGTTTAAAGATTCGGTGAATTTTCTATTGAATTACTGGCAGTGGGTTGCATAAATCATTGTAACTCGATTAATTCTATTTGATTCAATTTTAACATCGTTGCGTATAATTCTCTACAGTGGCATGAATCTGAAGAAAATTGAGCAGCTTTTTGAAAATTAAAAGCTTTATCAAGCAGACCGCAGATCTCTGTGCAGAATATAAATTTTAAATAGAACTGAATTATTTTATCAATCGCTTTAACAATTTGATAATAATATGAACGTTCCTCCTCACAACTACGTAAAATAAATAGGCTATTTATGAAAAACCTATAAAATCGATGATACACAAACTTCTTTCTCATTATACTAGAATGAACTGACACTGAAAAAAGATTTTAGTGATCGCGTTTAAAAAAAATTACTTCAAGCAACGTTCATGCTGAATAGATTTTATCAAATGTACAGAGAGCAACACGTGCTGATACAAATTTCTGAAATTGTTTATCGAATTCGTTGTATTTCTTCAAACTGTACATACCAAGATTTATGCCGCACAATTTTGCACAATCGAATACTGAATACGGAATTTCTTGATTTTAACCCTTCGCACTCGAGTGATGACTCTGAGACACCACTAAAATTGTTAATTCACATCCCAAAATCATTTTTATATTATCAAAGTCCAGATTTCAAAAATTGTTAAAAGCGTAATTGTTATCGCAAGGCTCAATTTCATCTGCATAAAATGCACTTTGTCATATAAAACGGAGATACTATAAATCAGAGGAATTATTTTAGATTTACGGTTGAAATGGCATCGAGCGCAAAGGGTTAAAACCGACGCTACTCGAATCCTTTCTTTACTCAAAAACATCTCAATAAAACGTGGCGTTCCTCGCGGAAGCACCACTTCATCATTCAACATTTATACATCTAACGCAACGATGGCAGAACATCCTTGGCATTTTAAAGGCATGTCCGCGATGGTTCCCGGATCGTAAAGTAGCGTTTCACCATTTCGTTCTCAAAAGAATCGCGCGAACAAACGCCACCACCTCGGTCGCAGCCTCTAACAAGACAATTCCCGAGTAGTGGCACTAGCATAGAAAGTAAATTCCTGCTTCCAGTTTCTCTTCGAATTTGCATATTTATGTAAACGCTCGTAAGAAGACGGAAAAGGACGATTTCTTCTCGAAATCGTGCGGAAGTATTCAAAGCTCGGCGGAATGGATCGCGATCGTGAAACTCGCTCGCGGCTCGGCCGCGAGTTCGGCAAGAAACCGACGCGAAAAACGAGCCACCGCGGGCTCTTAAGGGCCCCATAAACTCCCAGGAGCGTATATCTCGCGCCGGGATCCACCGGTTCGATCGATTCCGGCAAATCAGAACGATCGATGGTAAAGACCCGCGACCTGCGACTGTCGACGCGTGGAATACCTGCCGCACCGGTTCTCCGGCGCGTTGCACAACGGCCGTCCGGTTCCAAGTCGCTCGACGATAAACTCGCCACCGTTAATTGGCTTGTGAAATCATCCCCTCGGACACCGTGACAGCTTGAAAATGATCCCGACGCGATCGGGATCGTCGACGCGCCGCGCGCGTACCCAATAAAATCTCGGCGACGGCGAATCGAATTTCACGCGCGTTTGCCCTCTCCCGTAAATTATTGTTTCAGTTCCTGGGTGCCGCGAGAGCCCAGCGGGTTCTGCAGAGGTGCGAATATTACCGGCTGCATGCTGCTTATAAATTGATGGCGATGGAGTAACTGCGACAAATTTGGCGCATTTGTGAGACGCGATCATTTGTAACGATTTGTAACGTGCTAAGTTGTACCTAAAATGTAATTTTACTGTTTCAGTTTTTGCCTAATTTAGACAAAGAATACAATCTCAATTGATCTTGTTTATTATTTTATTATTATTTTATTTATGATATTATTTTTATTTACTTTGTTAGACGTTCTTGATTGTTTATCGTGAGTAATTTGTATATCGTATAAATCGTATTTAATTAAATTGTGAAGGATTAGTGAACGAAGTATGATCTGAGGGTTAAAAAGTGTCCGATGTTTGGAAAACTAGCATAGATTTTTATCAACGTTTGTCATTCGTGTTTGCCATTGATCGACCAATAATTTTGTCCTTATTAACATAAACTTCGCGGTATCTACATCGATTAGAACAAAATTCCTGTCAATCTTACTTGTCCCGAGTTGTGTCAAAGCGACTGCTACCCTAAATCTTTCGCGTCTTAAAAATCCTGATAAAACACAACCTACACGGAAGATCGCAAATGAAAATTAATTTCTAACCCTGGTTAAAAAGCTGTCGCAGACGTGGCAGTGTCGACAGGTTAACCAGTGAGCTGTTTCTGACGCGTGTACCCGTCATGAAGAAACACTAAATTTGCTGTTTAAATATCAATTTTAGCAAAAACTAAAATGCATTCGTAAATTTGAAGATGTCGTGAAAAGAGATGCAAATAATTATTACGAAGAAACTGCTCGCAGTGACTGGTTCAGGTGGTACAGTAAATTCTCCTTAACTTTTCTTTAATTTATAAATAAAAATGGACAATTTGGGAAGTGAAGATACGATCATTCGAGCCTCGCGGCTCATTTTTATAGCATTGCCTAGCATATTTATAATATTGCCGATTGTCAACAATTATAAAAACGAACTGCAAGGCTCGAATAATCGCACCCCTTTCCCCCAAATTGTCCATTTTCGCTTACAAGCTGAAGGAAAATTGTGGAAAATTTTCTGTACATTCGTCGTCGATTATATTTCGCGACACGTCTTAGCTCTGCACGCGTTTCAAAGAAATGCCGGCAGCAGCCAACAGGTTGAAAGAAAACGCGACGCAGTTCTCGGGGTGGTTGAAGACCGCGAGTGCGAAAGAGCGAGCGAAATAGTCGGAAATAGGTGAGTAGGAAAAGAATGCCGAGAGGTGGGTGATCTGCCCTCCATTTCTGTTCGGTGCAGACCGCCCCGCGTCAAAGCGCGTCGGAACAAGGGGGTAGGTCCCACCCCTAATGGCCTACAAACGACACGGGTGCCCCATGAATTTATCAGACTCGCTTTCCGATACAGGCGACGTACCAATTAGGCTTGGCGTGCAAAGCGACGAATTAGCATTCTCTCGGCAGGCCAGAGAAACGGGACAGGATCGCGGGAGCGCAGGTGAACCGCTCGAGAGGGCGGAAGTGCCGGTTTAATTAAATTATTGCGGCGGGAGTCGTGCTTCCGGCGTGATTGATCGCGTTCGGTGCGGCGCGCGTTCGTTGGAACGCGGAATTAATCATCTTCGATCGCTGCTTCGTCACCCCTATAATAATAATAATAATAATAATAATAATGATAATAATAATAATATTAATTCTAAACACGTCTCATCATATTGCAGAATATAAACCTGCGAATAGAGCCGCGCGGAATGAAATTGTTTCATTAATAATTACAAAGTCGTTCAATTACACTGCGACTCGCAAATTCAGATTTCTCGTTCGATTAAATTGCCGGGTTGCCCGTAACTGGAGCCGAAATACGATCACAAGGTACGCTGTGATTGAATTGCAAATTCGGTATTACGGAGAAATAATGAAAGATGAAGAAGATTGCGTGGCGGTTGCGATCGGAGAAATTGTTGCCGGGAACGACTAAGGTATGGTTTATGGATTTTTGTAATATCTGAAGAGAAATGGCATTTTTTTGCTGTATCTAAAACGGGCCGCGTAATATTCTCTTCTAACTGTTCTGCTATGAGAAGCGTTTCCGAGACCAGAATCTTGCTCAAAGTTAATTATGTGCTGTAATAACATTTTAGAGACCGAAATCGCTCGAAGACCGTGTTGTAGTTAGAGGATAGAGTAATAGTTAACTCACGCATGCTATAATGAAAACGCTGAAATACCTGAGTAAATTCGGTAAATTCACTTCGATCAGTCTATTGTTAACTCACGATATGTATTCATTTATGAATAAAACGTATGCATTCTCTGCCACAATACAACAAGTGCAATCGGATCTAATATTAAAAAGCGTAAAAATGCCATTGTTCTCTTTAACACACAGTTTACTGCGTCGTATTGCAGAGAATCGTGAATACCGTAAACATGTAAAATGTTTCGCGAAAAACTGTGAAAGCAACGTTGTAAATCCATTGCAATGATTCGATAAAAATCGAGCGATCCACTCTGAATGGGAAAGAATTAAACCGC